TGGCGCCATGACCATTGATTCGAATTTCGAGTGACTCTGCGAGCGGCACTGTACAGTATAATATTATGTGTGCGTCTTATATATACACACACCCTAGCCCAAGCAGATCAGTTGCGTTGCCGATGGCAACCGAGATGGCTTTCACGCGGTTCGAGTCTCCAGTCTTTGATTCCTGCAGCAATTATTATTGTTAATTGTTATTGTGTACCTACCCATCATATTGTTTCGCGCTATAAAGGGTTCAGTTCTGATTGATAATAGTATTATGATGACTATATAATACGTGTGCGTGTCGCGGACTCGTGGGTTTCGCAGGCGGGCATAATAGGTACGGCGGCCCTCGCAAAGGAAGTTAAAAGGGCTGAGTACGTGTTTGCGCGAATATAATGTCATCATTCAAAATAAATAGCACACGCGTATTTTACATATATTTATATATATTATTGCTGTAGTTTGTAGTGGATGATATTATACATAAATACCAGCGCTGCAGGATTTTGGTAGAGCAAGTGCGAAGTTAGGTAGGTAATGATGCCCCTGGCACTGTTTGTACTGCAGCAGAGAAAAACGTCTAGAMGGTTATTTCAAAACGATTAAAGAAGCCAAAAACTTAATTTTAAAAATGAAAATTCTCTAACTACAAAAAAAAAAAAAATTGAAGTAAGTTCTGTTGTATTATAGGAGTTCGGGGTGTATCTGTCATCATTGAGCTGCAGGCACTGTAATGGATGAGTTAACGTATACACCTACCACCTACGTTAAGTTTGATTTCAAATAAATCCAATGAAAAATAATATCGAATAACATGAAAAAATGATTCTGAGCGAAGAAGGTCCAACTTCTTGATACCAAGGTTACCAAACACTTATTTCAATGATAATAATATTAAAATTTTGACAAATTTTAAATTATGAGAGGATCGATGAATGTTAGTTTTATAATGATTGATGGTTTTTTTTTTGTTTCTGACATTTCGATTTTCTACTTCAACGTCTTTTATGGCCGGTAAAAGATTCTAGTTGATGTTAATACACAAAACTCATAAAAATACTTGTTGTATTGTATTTTTTTTTTTTAAATAACTATAAAATAGATACGTAAAATTATGTTTATAATGGTATTTTCTA